TGCTCCTGCCTGCCCCAAAACACCCCGATTCGGGTCCCAGGCCACCCCTATATTGAAATGCCATATCAGCTTTTCTAGTAAAATTATTTCCTACAACTTTTTCCTCTTGATGCTAAAATAACAATTCTCTTTCCTTATGGGTTAGCTTTCTCAAGTAAAAAGAAAAGTAATGCTTCAATGGTTAACTATTTGCTTTTGAATTGTGTGCAAGTCTTCCAAATTAAATTAGGCATGGACCAGTACCGGGCCGGTCCAAACGGGACCGGTTCGGGTTGGTTCTATTTTTTGTTTTTTGTTTTTCTTATTTATTCCAACCCCCCACCTCCAAACCCTGCCAAAACACTCATCCCAGCCTCCCAAGCCACCTTCCATAGGCCCAAACCCAAAAAATAAAATAAAACAACATAAAATTGGCCTGGCCCGGCCCGGTCCCCATTTTGGTGCACCCGGAGCTCACCCTGAAAACCCTCCTCACCGGGCCGGTTGACCCGGTCCCGGTTGGAGGGTCAGGCCGGTACTACACAGTAATGGGCCGAGCTGGTCAACCCGGGCCCGGTCCATCCCTATTCCAAATCATTCATTTCACATGCTCTGATAAGTTAAGCAATACTTAAAAAATAAGAGTTATTATAAATCACTAAATATAATTTTGGTAATGTTTTTAGTTGATGAAACTTCAAGAGATGTATTTGAGGTTTTTGAAAACTAGATTACCCTGGATTTTAGTAGATTTTTACTTATGCTTTTTTATGAAATTTTCTTTACAATTTGTTTTGAAGTTTTTACAGAGTAAATAATATTAAAATAAATTAAAATAAAGAACTCATATTCGTAATACTTCTCCCGTTCCTTTTTAGTTGCAACATTCTAGTTTTCACGCTTGCCAATGCACAACTTTGATCGTCACTATATTTAATTCTCTATTAGTAATCAACTTTTAAAAATTAGATTATGAAACTTTGTAATGAGACGAATTCAACAATATATTTCAAAAAAAAAGTAGTTCACATACATTAATAAATAAAATGTAGTCAAAGTAGGGTACATGAATAGTGTGTAAATTCCAATGTTGCAAGGATAGTAGTTTAAGTCATACACCCTTCGTATTTTAATGTTTACTACAACAGGGTTGAACGCATTACTTAAGAATGAAATATAGTAATGAGAAGTGTATAAAAAGTAGGAGAAATGGTGAAAAGTATGAAAGAGAAGATAAAAATTAAAAAAAGTAGGAGTAGTTGTAGAGATGTCAATTGTACCGATCCGATGCATACCCGCATCGAATCGCACTGGTCAAAATGGGGAAAACCGCATTGACCGGGTAACAGTTATGGGGCGGGGAATACCTGTTTTATTTTTACGGAGAATAGGGCGGTTATGGTTTTATACTTGCCCGCTCCATTACCAGCCTCGTTTATTTTTAGTTATATTTTTATTACATTTTTATCTATTATTATCCATAGACAGTGTGTGTATATGGATAATAGATGTACTAACTATAATGTATGAATGAAAGTTCAGACTTTTTTCGTGATTAATTATTTTTCATAATAAGTATTTTTAGGTTTAAATTAATTTAGTTTGCCTTTTTTTCTCATCTTGTAGATATATGAATCTTTAAAGTGGTGTTTGAAGTCTAGGGTCGTCTAGGTGAAACCATTATTTTTCACCTTTTAAAATATTATTTTCATATTAAAATCTCAATGACTCATTTAATAAAGTTATTTCACGCGGTTACCCGCAGTTATACCCGTTATCCGTTGGGGTGGTTATGGTTTGTATAAAAATTATTCATTGGATAATGGGGCAATTACGAGGAAGGGAAATTACCTTACAGGGCGGGTATGATTACATGTAAAACCGTCCTGATTCTCCCCGTTGCCATCCCTAAGTAGTTGAGTACTTTTTTTATCGTAAGTAGTTGAGTACTTTTAATAGAAAAACTAATAAAAAAAATAGACAGTGTATAAAACTTTTGAGTACATTCAAAAAAGGAATGTGTACCAACATTTATGTTCATTTCTTTTAGACATTATGCACATTTACTATAAACACTATACTCATTTTCAATGCAACACAAAAATTATATTAGTAATTAACAAGTTAAAAATATTAATACACAATATTAAAATACAAAATTAAAATACAACTTTTTTTTGGACACCAATTAAAATAGGGAAAAGGGCCAAAAATGACACTGACATTATTTAGTAATCTCAGATAGGACATTGAAGTTTAAAGTAGACCATTTAAACATGTAAGCCATCTGTTTGGGTTACATTTGGCCACTCCCTAACCGAGCCGTCCAACTGTCGTTACCTCCCTCCTCTCCCCCCAATTAAACGCTACTCAACAAAATTGACAACCCTAATTCATCTGCCATGAAGCTAATTCATCTGCCATGAAGATCCTTAGCCTGAAACTGAGTGTGCTTAGAAGAAGAGTGATTACTTCTGTATGTACGTGAATGAATGGGGGTGCTTAGCATCTCATTTTGGAATCCACATTCACGCTTAAAGGTATTCAGTGTACTTATTTCCTTTTCCTCGTAAAGGATGAGTGAGTTGGTGAACATGCGGTTTAATCATAGTGGGAGATGGATTTTGCACCCGAAAATGAAATATGTTGATGGGGATGTCCATACAATATATAGGTTTGATCCTCACTAAATTAAAAAACTTTCTGTGCTTTCATGACATTCAAAGAACTTACAAAGAAGAGGAATTGGATTTCATAACACTAAAAAACATTTATGTATTGGTACCCAGAAAAGATTTGGACAATGGGCTGTTTTTAGTTCAAGATGATGACACAATTATGAAGATTTTGAATCGGATTAGGATTTTTTTCTTGGATTGATGATATAGAGTTGTATGTTGATCATCAACTGGACGAGCCCCTTCTCATTTCCCAAATAGAATGGTCTTCTGTTCAAAACAACAAAAGTGAGAATGTGCGTAACCAAAGCCCTGAAATAGCCAATGAGGGGGTACTTCCCCCTGAAAATAGAGGGGTGCCAAATGGTTATATAAGTTATGGGGAAGCTGAAGAGGAACCACAAGATTCTGATAGTAGCAATGAAGAAGAGGAAGCAGAAGATAGTGATGAAGATGTGAGGGTTAACTACACTACCACAGATGGATCTACTTGCTTTATTATTGGGATGACTTTTGAAGATGTCCATGAGGCTAGAACTGCCATTGCAGACTATGGTGTGGAGTTTGGCTACAAGCTTCAAATCAAACCCAATGAGAACAACAGATTGGCTGTAAAATGTCTGAATGAGGAAGGGTGCCCATTCAGATTATGGATATCTAAAGATGGGAAGAATTCTGGCTTGGCAGTTAAAGTATGCAATCTAGAGCACAAGTGTTTGAGACACTTTTTCCATCCCCAGTGCTTCTCAGACAAATTACTTCAAAGGTCACCTACAAAAAAATCCAAACTTTAAGGTTGCTGAACTGAAAGAGGGGGCTGAGAAAATTCTTAAGATTAATGTGAGCTTGTACAACTGCAAGAGGGCCAAAAGACTTATCCTTCAAGAGTTGGAAGTTAGTTATAAAGCAGAGTTTGGTTACCTGGAGGCATATGCTGCTACTATAAAGAGAAGCAATCCTGGATCAAAAGCTGAAATTGAACTGTGCAGTCAATCCTTGAAAGATGGGAGGAGAGTCTTCAAAAGAATGTTTATTTGCTTTGATGCTTTGAGGAGAAACTGGATGAGTGGTTGTAGAAGAATAATTGGGGTTGATGGTTGCTTTTTAAAGGGAGTTTGTAAGGGAAACTTGCTTAGTGCAGTAGGTGTGGATGGAGATGGAAAAATTGTTCCAATTGCTTGGGCTGTAATAGACAAAGAAAACAAGTCTAACTGGAGATGATTTCTCACTTGACTAGTTCAGGAGCTAGAGCTTCACACTAGTGCTGAGTTAACCCTAATCTCTGACATGCAAGAGGGTTTACTAATTGTTGCTCAAGAGATTATACCTGATGCAGAGCACAGGTATTGTGTTAGGCATGTTTATGCTAACTGGTCCAAGAAATGGAGAGGAAATCAATTTTGTAAGAGATTTTGGATTTGTGCATGGAGCACATATGAAGAAGAGTTGGAAATGAATTTGAAAAAATTAGGAAAGCTTAGCCAAGAAGCAGCCTCTATTGTGTTGAAGTATCCAATCCAAACATGGTGTCGTGCATATTTTAGTAACAAAAGTCAGTGTTGGATTGTTGATAATAATATAACTGAGTCATTCAACTCATGGATCCGGGAAGCAAGAAGAAAACCAATTGTTAGCATGCTAGACGACATCAGGTTGAAGGCAATGAAGAGGATTTCTGAGTTTCAGGACATTCAAGAGAAATGGATAAATGAATGGTCTCCTACATGCATGGAATACTATCAAGACAATAAGGAGGCTGCAAGAAGTTGTACTATAATATTCAATGGTGATATGGGGGTTTGAGATAGGTGAGGGAGCTGACAAACACTCAGTTGTTTTGGATAAGATGGTATGTACTTGTAAGGCATGAGAACTTACAGGAATACCATGTCTACATGCCATATGTGCTTTGTACCATAAGAAGTTAGATCCCATGTCATTCATTTCAAAGTGGTATCACAGATCAACATACAAGTCAGCATATCAGAATTATTTGCAACCAGTTCCTGGTAAAGCTTTCATGAAAGTTGAGGACTATGAAGCAAATGAACCTCCCCCAGTTCCAAATTTACCAGATAGACCTAAAAAATTATGGTAAGGTCATCTACTGAGGGCAAATCATCATCATGTACTTCAAACCAACAACCTGTCACAGCTCAAAAAGCTTCAAAAAGAGGCCAAGTGCAAACTTGTGGGATCTGTCATCAAAAGGGGTATAAAAGGTCAAAATGTCCAAACCAAGCTACTTCTGTAAGTGTTCTGTGTTCTTATAAATATACTTATGCTCAGTTTTACTGTAAGATTGCTGTTATTATGAATTTACTTATATGTTTCATGTATTAGGCAAATGAAGAGCCCAATGCAAATCAAGGTGTGAAGAGAACTGTTCTTGAGGCTTTTACCCCTGCAGTTTCATCACCCCCACCACTAGGAAGGGACAAATCAACAAGCACTACCACCAGGCCCTCAAAACTGAAATCAAGAAGAATAGCTAGAAACAAAAGCCTTAACACTTTAACTGGTTTTGGCTGCTATGTTGATGTTAATACTGGGGCAAAGACTTTAAATGTGAGTATTTCTTAAGGAATAGAAAAGTAAAGTATTTTCTTGGTTGTGAATATAAGTTGGATGTTGTAAAATCAGATTGATTACGTTTGTTGTTCTTATACCTCTTGGTTTTGCAGCCTGGGATGAGGAGTGAACATGTTGTTTCTGAGGTGCAAGCTGGGATGCCACATGATCCTGATGTTACAGTTAGATATGTTATTCCTAATGAGAAGGAAATAAGAGCTGCTGCCCGGAATTAGAAATCTGTCAATGAGCCAAGATACAGAGATATAACATTTAAGGGTGATGGAGCACATGTACAACAGCCCACCAACCTACCTTTCAAAGCCCCTGGTTTGCAATGGAAGGGTAGCCCAGCTCTCACATCAGGCCAATTGAGACATATAGAAGGTGCAAAGGAGGAGGGAACCTAGCACTGGGACCAGTGATAGTCAACAAAGAAATTAATTATCATGTATAAGTACTTTTGTGTAAGTGTTTAAGTAGTTTAACAAACTGGTAGCCTTTCCAACCACCTGATTTGGATTCAATGTGCTAGTTTAACAAACTGGTAGCCTTTCCAACCACCTGGTAGGTGGCAACACTGGCTTTATGGCTTTACATTTCACTCTTAGAACAAAGGCCCTTTATCAGTTTTACATGTGCTAAATCTGAGGTTGAATATTTATATGAATGCTGTAACAGCTTTTTGTTTTATGGATGGTTGCTTTATATGAAGCTTTATATGAATGGTTGCTTATATGAAGCTTTATATGAATGGATGGTTGTTTTATGTGAAGCTTTATCTGAATGGTTGCTTTATATTAAGTGCTTTAAAAGTGAATGGTTGCATTATAACATGTTTTTGTTCTGTTTTACTATGGACTCAATATTGTGAGTTTCAGATCGATCAGTCCAATGGATATCAAGTATGGACTGAATAAGGTGAGTTTCAGATGACTCCAATGGATATCAAGTATGGACTAAATAATGTGAGTCATTATTTGTGAAAATGGATATCTAAGTAATCTGTGAAGTTCATTATCTAAGTTAGAGGAAATAACTTATTTGAAATTCAGACAATAATAGTGGATTGTTATTTGAAACCATAATAATACTCTATTTGTGAGTTTCAGGCCAGTCCATGATAAACTACTATTGTATTCCAAAATAACTACTCTTATTCAGTCCATACACATGAATTTCAAAGAAGTTATGTTTATCTCTTTTATGTTATAATTGGTAAGTGGAAGTCATACAATCAGTCCATACACAATAATACCTAGACATCCAGACAAACACATTCAAACATACACAATGACATATACCTTCATACCATTCTGATTCATACATATGAAATAACCAAATTGGTACTCATCTGTTTACAATAGGAGAATGCATACATCAAACAAAATTACAACACCATAACCTACTCTATTGTTCTACCTAAGTTAACATACAAATTAGTGCAACTAGGACACACAATAATAGTACAACTAAGTAGTTCCTCATTGTCTTCCTTTCCCTTTCCAAATTCATAACCTCAACATTGTTGGTACTATCAAATAACAGCCTTTGATATGAACTTTCAAATTGACAACTTTCAGTATCAAATTCTAGCCTTTTGTTGAATTTGGTTGAAATTACAAATTAGTACAACTTTCATTGTCATCAAACATCCCCCCTTTGCCATTTGGTTGACATAGTGCACCCCTAAGCCTTTTGTTCTCCCATTTCAGTTGATTTATCACATCTTTCGCCCTATTTGTCAATTGCACATCATGCCATCGAAAGAAACCACACCCCTCCTTCTACACTACAAAACACTTATATTAATTCCAGTCATCTATATAATCAAGACCACCAATTTACAAACTTACCTTATAATATGGGCATCCGTAGAATCGCCTCCCAGGATTCTTATCAGTCCATGAGGTCCAAAGTCTAGCTTCTGTAACCATTCCATTCATGTTTCTGCATTTACAATAGGTGGAACGACTAGGAGTTCCGGATTCTAAATTGCTTCGTTTCTTCACTGATTCAACGGAGAAAGAGGTTGATTTCTCTTCACCAGACCACCTCGAACGTGAACCTCCATCACCCATTTCTCTATTGTTGTTATATGATCTCTTTGAGAGGCTGCAAGTGGTTGTTCATTTTTATTAGGGTTGCAGAGGAGTTGTTGGGTAGCATTTAATTGGGGGGGGGGGGGGGAGGGCCAAATGTAACCCAAACAAGTGGCTTATGTGTTTAAATGGTCCACTTTAAACTTCAGTGTCCTATCTGAAATTACTAAATAACATCAGTGTCATTTTTGCAATCGTGTAGGGGATATGGGTCTCCATTGGCAGCGGCGTCTGGCCAAGTCGTCCTCAATTTGGTCGTGGTCAAGCTTTGCAGCAGGCTTCCATGTATGCTGCTTCCTTCTCTGTACACTGCACTTTCGGTTTCCGACTAATCCATCTTCGAGGCTATTGTTGATGAGTGCATTCACCACAAGTTTTTTTTTTTTGCAAAGAGGACGACGTCGTTAAGGGCCGGTACACGTTACACGTTGCTGTGGAGTTTGCACTTTGGGCTCGTTTGTTATGATGTAAAGTAAACACTTTGCGTGTAAAATGTGGGGAAGTAAATATTTTACATCGTTTGTTTTGACTATTTAATGTAAACTGTAGGGCACTTTTTTAAAAACATTTTACACTATACCATGTAAAATATTTTACTTGGGGGCAGGCTAGTAAAGTAGTTTACATCCCTTGATACGGGAGAATAAACGCATCTAATAACAATTCAACCTAGCAGGCGTTTGAAAATTGGATTTTGGCCGCAGGCCAATCTTGCCGGCAATAAATTAAACTCTTTTTTTCTCCTACAAATCATCAAATCTCTTGTCTTCTCCATATGCGAGATTGCGAGCTCTCTACATACTACCGTCTACACCCCTTGTTCCTATATAATGGTGATAACTGCATGATTTTAATTTGTGCTTGGTTTTTAATTTATGATTTGCTCATATCGGATTAAAGTCAAGATGCATGCTAGGTTTTAAATTTTTGTGGTTGGGATAAGTACGATTTGTGATTGTGTAAATATTTCATGTTCTTTAATTTTGTAAATTTTACGTGTAAAACTATTTTCCAAAAAAAACATTATAAAAAGTTTGCATGTAGTTTAAAAACAGATTACATAGATAACAAATGATGTATTTTTAGTTTACATGCAAACTAATTACAACCCTACATTTTACATGCAATCATTTTGCATGTAAAGTTTTAATGTGTGAACTACCAAACGGGCCTTTCTCTCCAATTTATATTCTCCAATTTATATAAGTAATCTGCCCTACTTCATCGATCGCTAGGGCACTCGGTCTCCTTGGTCGGATTTCGAGGAATTAAGCCAGCACCTACTTCATCCACTCCCAGCGAAAGCTAGCAGCACCCTGAAAGAACATACGGTATAATCTTTAGTTCTTTACAATTGCATTTGTAACTAATTGCAAAAATACCAGGCAAAAACTAACCACATTAAAGTGAATTGATGGTTGCAGCCCCCAGCAGGCAGGGCTTGTAGAGTTGCAGCTGTACCTGGCTTGGACAAGCGCATCACCAGCCACAAATATTTCGGCAGACCTTACGTTTTTCTCTGGAGCCGCGCAAGAAGGTAGAGTACGACGCATTTCATCTCTGCAAAAGCGTAGCAAGAGTTAAGCGGTTCAGTGTTTCAGTCCCGAAAGTAGGCAATATTTATTGAAGATTTAATCCGAAAATTGCAAGGTCAGTAATCTTCAAATTTACTAATTTGAAATTATTATCCTGTGAATTAATAGTACACTTATGACTTATCCCTTACCGAAGTTGTGATTTTTATATTGGATTTGTGAATTTAATTGGTTACCTAGTGAATTTAGTTATGTGTGTGGTTTCTGTCTGTGTATCAATGATTTTGCTCATTCCCATTTGTATGATATGATATTTTATATTTTGATACGACCTGTATGGTTTTATTGAATTGCTGTCAGATGAGAAAAAATCGCAACGTGAAAAGCAATTCCAACTCCAAGCTAATAAAATCACGGAAGAAGAAGTTGGAAAAGCTCAAGGTTTTTTGTTTCTGCAATTGGCAGTTCTGAAGTTTCTTTCATTAAATCATTAGTTTTCCAAGTATTATTTGTTTCCATCAAAATATGTGGGACGTTCGTTTCAGTTAATTGTTTCACCCTCACTCAGGAGGACAAGGAAAAAGCTATCCTTTTATCTAAAAGCATGGAGACCTTGGCGTAAGAACTGCTTTTTTTAAAAAGATCTACTTTTTTTTTTCTTGTAATCTTCTTTCATTTTATGAGTTTAATTTCAAGAAAGCTAATCTCTAGGTAGGAATTCATGTAATTAAAGCGGCAGTCTTTTGTTTTACATTGCAGGAAGTATAAGATTGGGGATGGTGCATATTCACTTTTGAGGTCTTCCAGAAACTTGGGCCAGGTTGGTAGTGTTACATCAAATTACTTTGGGAAAACTGTCAAATAGGTCCTCAAACTTTCATAAAAAGGTCAAATAAGTCCTTATATAGAAGGCTCAGTCCGGCTGCCGCGATTTGGGGCGGTTCCCGGTGGAATTTTTTGATGAATTTTTTTTAGCATCGTATTCATAAAGTCTAGTTTACTCATACCAAATTTCAGCTAAAACTTCAATCGGGAACACATTCAAATTAATTCCTGAAGATAACTGTGCAGTTATCTTAAACAATTAATTTGAATGTGTTCCCGATTAAATTTTTAAATGAAATTTGGTATGAGTAAACTAGACTTGATGAATAATATGCTCAAAAAATTTCATCAAAAAATTCCACCGGGAACCGCCCCAAATCGCGGCGGTCGGACAGAGCCTCCTATATAAGGACTTATTTGACATTTTTATGAAAGTTCGAGGACCTATTTGACAGTTTTCCCAATTACTTTCACTAAACTCAATCCATAAAGTAAAGTATTTCTTATTTAGTCCATCTGCTCCTGTGTTTGCTAGGTTGAAACTAACCGGTATAAGAGAAGAAGAGAAGTTCAATATTCTAAAGCAGGACTAGAAGTGCCAATCAGCGATCGACCCTTTAAGAAGAATAAGAAAAAGATTGCTAATAGCATTATAAGTGATGCTGAACAAGAATATGATGAAATTCAATCAACTTCTCCTCTCATCAATGACTATATATTGCACGCACCAGTAAGCAAAGGAGATACACTGTCAGAGGCATCTTCTTGTCTAGGAGCCTCTAAACCTCTTGTTTCCGATGGAGGTTTTTCAACAACAGTTAGGCATGCAACAACAGATGAATACAACGAGCCCTCAAGGACTGAATCTCTGCAATACCCACCACCGTCCACGCCAAGTTGCGTTGATGATGGAAGGGCAGGATTAAAGGTTACATCTTTATCTATATTATAGTACTCCCTCCAGTCTTAAATAAATGTCCATAGAGGAAAAATGTGGATTATAAGGACTTTAAGGAGAAAATTAATTTGGTCAGAAATTGAAAAATGCACCCTTATTGATTTCTAGGTAGTAAAACCAAGTAAACGTGAAACAAACATGAAAGGGTAACTGAGTCAATTTACTACTCCCTCCGCCCCGAAAAGGTTGGTCAAAGTTGACTTTCACGTGGATTAATAAAGTAAAAACTGCGTGGTTGAAATTTGTTCTAGGAGAGAGAA